TGTTTTTATGTTTTGAGACAAGGTGTTACTCTGTAGACCAGGCTGGCTTAGAACTTGCTCCAACAAACCCACCAAAAGGATTCGGGTTTCCAGTGAAGCCCTTCAGGCAGATTTTGTAGGAAGTGCACCTGTAAGGCGCCTCTCCTCTCACTTCTGCATCTTTTAGCAAGGCGTAGTCTGCCTGTTTCTGTTTGGCTAAATGTGGTTGTTGGATTCTCCCTGAATCCTCAACTCTGCCAGCTTTTCTTGATGTTTTTGATAGAAAGTTCTAGCAACAGGCCAGGCCCTCTGACAATGGCCACGTCCCCTTTCTCTTGTTAAGCGCATTAGTAAATATTTAATGGTTCTATTTTAGCATAGTATGAATACTTAAAATATTAATTGCAGCCAGCCATTTTTGTCACTGTTGGTACAATTCTTATTGAGAATAACTTACTTGTGAACATTCTGCTTGATAATGTAAAACTAGACTCATTTCCGATTAGACATGTTGTTAGTGTGTGTATGTCAGATGGTGCCAGGGGTCAAATCAAGGACCTTCCACATGCTAGGTTAAGCACTCTCCCACTGACTGAGGTCCACCTCCCTTAGAGAAGACGTTTACAGTGCTGATGGGATTAGGTCAGAAGAAAGTTTAGCTGTCTCTGGGGCATTTTCAAGTGAGTGACTTGTGTTCTGTTTACATCCTTGGAACAGAGGTCAAACAGGTTAGAGGACTGCCCTTCTTGCTCTTCCACGTTAGAAACCTTTACTGCCTGAAGCATTAAAATAGGTTTGAGGGCGGGAGGGTTCTCAGAGTCCAACCAGGAGAGTGTGAAATTCAGACAGCAGTGCCGGGGCACTGTGTGGGCAGCCGCGGGTCTCTGCACTCACTGCTCTATGGGAATCACCTGTGCAATTTTTACAATTCTCCAGACCAGACCCAGTAAGTCTGTTTCTCCAAGGCTGGAACATAAGCATCAGTATTTTAAAAAAGTTTTCCCGGAGGTTTTAATGTGATGCATACTAAAGCCAAGATAGACATCCTTGTGACGTTCACATAAGCTGCAGAGAAGGTGCATTATGTTGTTACTGCCTTTAGTTGATGTCATCAGTTATAATTAACCAATTGGATATTCTTGCCTGCAACTTAAGTTCATTCTTTTTAGTAACAGACATTCATTGGGTCTTACCCTTGTACCAAATTTTTATTGGTTGCTGGTAACAGATAAAGTTGAATGCTAATATGGTCTAGCAGGGGAATGATACTATTGTTACATACAAAGTCTATAAATAGAGGCTTGGGTGTTTACTGAGAATATAGTACAGACATTAGGTCTGCCTGAGGTTTGAGGGGGGTGTGTGTGCGTGTGCGTGCGCGCATGTGTGTGTGAGAGTGGAGGGGTTAAGATGAAATAAGAAATGGTCAAGATTTCAGAAAGAAGGCTACAAAATAAGAGTTTAGTATGTAGGAAAGGGGGAGATAGAGGCAGGGCTCCTCCTATGACCTCTGAAGATGTTAAGAACTTAAAGGAATGTGCATTCAGGGCTTGGCTAGAGAGGAGATGATTATATGAGTTATGTAGAATTACATTGGAAGGTAAGTCAGAGTCGGATGGCAGGCTGCTTTATCAATTGAAGACTGATTGTTACCTTGTATGAGTAGAGGTCACAGGGTCAGATAGATGTAGGGTCTCAATAGGCCGTGTTACAACTGCATCTGCTCAGGGGAGATGTTGGAGAGAGGAGAAAGAGGAAGAGAGAGAGGGGCAAAGATAGGACTAGAAAGGAGGGGAGAGGGGAGGGGAGATGGGGGAGAAAGGAGTGAGAGGGGAGAAGATTTGGGGGGAGAAGGGGGGAAAAGGGAGGGGAAATGGGGGAAGAGAGGAGGAAAGGGAAGGACAGGAGAGGGGGGAGGGGAAGGGAGGGGCGGTAGGGGTAGAAAGGGAGGGAAGAGAGGAAGGAGAGGAGGGGACCGAGGACAGGGAGAGGAGGGTGTTTTGTTTTGTTTTTGTTTTGTTTTAAATTTCTGGTTGTTGTGGGTTCTCTGCTGGTACAGAGCCTCAGATTAATGCTGTTTTATAGAAACTATCATCCCTGTTACTTGGTCACTGCTCCCGAGATCTCACTTTGGGAAGATTCATCACAATTGAATTACATCATTTTGCTTACGTATTTGAACAAGTCTTTATTCCAACAGTTTTCATTATGGCACCTTCATGTTATTTTTGTGTGTGTGTTATGCTCAGGTTCTGTCCCATAGAAAGAACACCCATTAGCATTTACCTCATTTCTCTTGCCTGTACATCTTGCCTTTTTATATTGTAAATGCACTGTCTTTGCAAACATTTTATTACACATAGGGATGTTTGTATGTATGTATGTATGTATGTGTGTATGTATGTGTGTATGTATGTTTGTATGTATGTGTGTATGTATGTATGTATGTTTGTATGTATGTATGTATGTGTGTATGTATGTATGCATGCATGTATGTTTGTATGTATGTGTGTATGTATGTGTGTATGTTTGTATGTATGTATGTATGT